TTCCCCAGATGCCAAATAAAAGCTACTTTCCAGTTTTGCAAGTTTCTGGGCAAATAAATGTCAAACTTTGGCCTGCTTAAATATCCGCAAAAACCCCATATAAAACTAAAAAAATTCTTGAAAATATCCTGATGATGACTGAAATTCGAAACATTTTGTACTTATAGAATGGACATTTCCCTACAAAATACATACAAAAGCGACTTTCCCACTTGTTAGTTCTTGAATAAATAAATGTCAAACTCTCTCTGGAAAAACAAGCGCAAAAGATAAACATTTGAAAAAATTCCAGTAATTTTCCTGACGTAGGTTCAAAATCGAAAAGCTTTTCCTGTATAGAGCAGGCTTCGTTCTCCAGATGTTAAACAAAAGCGACTTTCCAGCTTTGCAAGTTTCTGGGCAAATAAATATCAAACTTTGGCCTGCTTAAATATCCGCCAAACCCCCATACAAAAATGGAAAATTCTTGAAAATGTCCTGTTGATGACTGAAATTCGAAACATTTCGCACTTATATAAGGGACTTTTCCCTACAAATTACATACAAAAGCGACTTTCTCACTTTGTTAGTTCCTGAATAAATAAATACTAAACTCTCCCTGCAAAAACAAGCTCAAAAGATAAACAAAATTTGAAAAAATTCCAAAAATTTTCCTGACGTAGGTTCAAAATCGAAAGGCTTTTCCTGTATAGAGCAGGCTTCGTTCCCCAGATGTCAAATAAAAGCTACATTCCAGTTTTGCAAATATCCGCAAAAACCCCATATAAAACTGAAAAATTCTTGAAAATGTCCTGATGATGACTGAAATTCTAAACATTTTGCAATCATAGAATGGACATTTCCCTACAAAATACATACAAAAGCGACTTTCTCACTTTGTTAGTTCTTGAATAAGTAAATGCCAAACTCCGGTCTGCAAAAACAAGCGCCAAAAGCAGTCAAAATTTGGAAAAACTCCCGAAAATTTCTTAACGATGATTCAAAATCGAAACGTTTTTCAGGTATAGAGCAGGCTTCGATCTAAAAATACCATACAAAAACGACTGTCTAGCTTTGCACGTTTCCGAGCAAATAAATTGCCATTTTTGACCTGCTTAAACATCCGCAAAAACCCCATATAACATTGAACAATTCTTCAAAATGTCTTGATGACTGAAATTCGAAACATTTCACACTTATAGAACAGACTTTTCCCTACAAAATCCATACAAGAGCGACTTTCTCACTTCGTTAGTTTTTGACTAAATAAATGCCAAACTCTCTCTGCAAAAAGATAAACAAAGTTTGAAAAAATTTCGGAAATTGTCCTGACCATGGTTCAAAATAGAAACGCTTTTCCTCTATAGAGCAAGCTTAGTTCTCCAGATGCCAAACAAAAGCGACTTTCTGAGAAAACTACGTATCAAACCACGTCCTGCCTTAATGTCCACAACCAGCAAAAAGGCCCATGCAACTTTAAAAAATTGCGTTAAATTTCC